GACAACAGAAAAGTGGGTGAAGGGAGATATTGGACAGTGTAAGACATGAAAAAATAATAATTTATAAATTATCAAAGGAGAGGGAGGGGAAAAACTGAGGAGATGATATCAAGGGCTCAAGGAGAAATTGTTTGAGAATGATGATGGCAATAAATGTACTTGACACAATAGATGTATGTATGGATTGTGATGAGTTATATGAGGCCCCAATAAAATGATTTTAAGAAAAAGAAGAAATCCAGGATTTATGTTTAATACTTTCTTGAAATATTCTAAAGCAATGGTTCATAACCTTCCTAATGCTGCGACCCTTTAATACAGTTCCTGATGTTGTGGTGACCCCCAACATAAAATTACTTTTGTTGCTATCTCATAACTGTAATTTGCTACTCTTATGAATCATAATGTAAATATCTGATCTGCAGGATGTATTTTCATTGTTACAAATTAAACATAATGAAAGCATAGTGATTCATCACAAAATCAGTATGTAATTATATACGGTGAAAGATTTATTTCTAATGACAAATGAATTTTGTCTTGAAGCATGGTGTAGCATGGCTAACAGTCTTCACGCCGGGGCGGGGTCTCGTATGTGGGCGTATCTGCATGTGGGTGGCCCCACCTGAGACAGATGGAGGAGCGGTGTCTCAGTTCCTAAGACCATCAGAAATATGTTTTCTGATGGTCTTGGCGACCCCAGTGAAAGGGTTGTTCAACCCCCAAAGGGGTCGTGATCCACAGGTTGAGAACCACTGTTCGAAAGCCTCTTCAAAGTGTCCTATAGTGTCAGCCCTCTGTCGTAACATGGGACTTCAAACTTGAGTTGGCTGCTAGGGCAGACGTGTGGTCATCCGAAGCTTTGTAAAACTCAACCCTGTAAGTACTTGATCTGTCCGGTTGTTATAAACAGTAACCACGTCCTCAGGGCATTTGCTTCGGCCCTGCTCTGACAGACGCTGCACAGTCACGTTGTGTGGAGTACAGCCCCTTGGCCTCTGCATATTCGCCTTTCTTGCAAGGACATGAGCGAGTGGTAGGGTGGCGTGGCTTCCTAGGCCCTGCTGCCTGTTCATATCAGTACGAAGTCTTGCTTT